ATTTAAAACTGATACGTACTTATGGGGTGCCAGGCACTGTTCTAAATCCTTCACATGGATCAATTCACTTAGGCTATTAACTCAAGAATTTTGGCCATAGTCAAACAAGCCTGAGTTTAAATTGTGGCACTGTCACTAATGGCCCATGGCCTTAAACAAAGCTGCTTCACATCACTGTACTTCAGCTTCCTCAGGCCAGAGATGGTAGTAAGAATACTTAATCCGGAGTGTAATATAGGATTATCTAAAACTATATTCAGAGGAGCGTACCTAACAGACTCTGCTGGGTACTACCTCTTTTCAGTTGCTGTTAACAGTAAAATTATGAGTAAATCTTATAATCAAAGGTATCAGTCAGAATGCATCAGTGGGAAGAGAAGCTCTTCCACGGAGTTCCCCCCGCCTTAAAAAAAAAAAAAAAAGTATTCTATAGTTTTAGGGTTTTCTCAGCATGAACAACACATGGGTTTACAAAAACAAAAAACAGTATTATAAAATTTAAAGAACCCTCACACTAATTTTAAGTTTCAGGTCCTGCCCTTCAGAAATGGCAGTGTAATAAATCCTGTATTTCCTTAAAGTAAATAGTGCTGGCAATGGCATATGGCTGGGGAGTCTTCCAAAGAAATGGCTCCACACAGCCTTCCCCTGTTCTTTTCTCTGCCTTTTAAGGTCACAGTAACATGGTAGGAAATCTGGGACGCACACCATCTGTCCAGACAGTTCCCTCACTGCTCATTTCTCTCGTTAGTCAGAGAACTTCACACTTCCCAAACACTGCTACTATAAAGAGCAGAGGGAGTGAGCGAAAGTTGTCTCTACCAAAAACTGTGGTGCCTGAAATGAGCACTTCTCTTGAGGATTATGTTTTCAGATCACACCAATGAGAAGAAAAATTCATCCTTGTTAGAAATTTAAGACAAAAGACTGACACATTTCTTGAAATCTCAAAAAACAGGTGTAGCAACTTCATACGGGGCTGATTAGATGGCATCTAATCTAAATTTTTCACAAGATTATGAAAGGGGTCATTTCCCCCCACTATTACTGTAGTGGTATTAACACCAGCTAACAGCATTCGGGATTATCTGGACACCCTTAAAGTCCTTTTTATGAAATAATATTTTTAATCCTTTAAACAAGACTGTATGACAATGTCTATATTATTTCCCCTTTCAAGTGGAGAAACCTTATGTAGAGAAGTTAAATAAAAAATTGCACGCTTGGAACAAGTACAGTGGCATTTAAAAGATGACTCTATGATCTCAACTTCTATGGTACTCTGTCTTAAAAGGAAAAAATACTCATTATACACTAACTTTGGAATTTCTGTCATATTTTGAATAAATAAGCTGTAAACATTTCCAACACACCCATTTACCTGACTATAACTGTTACTTATTGTGCTGGATGGTTTTATGTCAACTTGACACAAAGCTAAAGTCATCTGAGAGCAGGGAACCTCAATTAAGAAAGTTCTTCCACAAGATCAGGCGGTAGGCAAACCTGTATGTAGGTCATTTTCTTCATTAGTGATAATAGGGGAGGACCAGCCCATCATGGGTGGGGCCATCACTGGACAGGAGGTTCTGTGTTCTGTAAGAAAGCAAGGTGACTATAGATTTCCTTAATTATGTTTAGGTATGTTCCTTGTATACCTGATTACTCCAATACTTTTATTATGAAGAGGTGCTTGATTTGTGAAAGGCTTTTTCAGCATCTAATGAGATGATCATGTGATTTTTTTCTTTCAGTTTGTTTACATGATAGATTACATTGACAGATTTTCATATGTCCAACCTTCCTTGTATCTCTGGGATGAAACCTTGATTATGGTAAGATGATCTTTTTGATGTGTGTTCTTTGATTCACTTTGTGAGTATTTTACTGAGTATTTTTGCATCAATGTTTATGAGAGATATTGGAATGTAATTCTTTTTCATTGTTAAATCTTTGCATGGATTCACTGAACCCAACACAAGAAAAAGTGGGTAATAGCCTTGAATGCATTGCCACAGGAGAAAATTTCCTGAATAGAACACCAATAGCACAGGCACTAAGATCAACAGTTAATCAATGGGACTTCATGAAACTGAAAAGCTTCGGTAAAAGACACCATCAACAGGACAAAATGGCAGCCCACAGAATGGGAAAAGATTGTCACCAACCCCACATCTGATAGAGGGCAAGTATCCAAATTATATAAAGAACTCAAGAAACTAGACATCAACAAACCAAACAATCCAATTAAAAAATAGGGTAGAGATCTAAACAGAATTCTCAACAGAGGAATCTCCAATGGTTGAGAAACAGTTTTAAAGAAATGCTCAACATCCTTAGCCATCAGGGAAATACAAATCAAAACTACTCTGAGAGTCCATCTTATACCTGTCACAATGGCTAAGATCAAAATCACAAGTAACAGCTCATGTTGGAGAGGATGTGGAGAAAGGAAGACTCCTGGTGGGAGTGCAAACTTGTACAGCCACTTTGGAAATCAATATGGCAGTTTCTCAGAAAATTGGGAATTGATCTATCTCAAGACCCAGCTACACCACTCCTGGGAATATACCCAAAGGATATTCCACCATACCACAAGGATACTTGCTCAACTATGTTCATAACAGTTCTATTCATAGTAGCCAGAAACTGGAAACAACCTAGATGCCTCTCAATTGAAGAATGGATAAAGAAAATGTGGTACATTTACACAATCGATTATTACTCATCTGTTAAAAACAATGACATTGAGCTGGGCGTTGGTGGCATACACCTTTAATCCCAGCACTCAGGAGGCAGAGGCAGATGGATCTCTGTGTTCGAGACCAGCCTGGTCTACAAGAGCTAGTTCCAGGACAGCCTCCAAAGCCACAGAGAAACCCTGTCTCGAAAAACAACAACAACAACAAAAAAAAACAAAAAGCAAAAAAAAGCCAAAACAACAACAACAACAAACAATGACATCAGGAAATTTGCAGGCAAATGGATGGAACTGGAAAAAAAATCATCCTGAGTGAAGTAACCTAGACCCAGAAAGACAAAAATGGTATGTACTCATTTATAAGTGGATATTAGCTGTAAAGTAAAGGATATTCATGCTTTGGTCCACAGACCCCAAGAGGCTAAGTAACAAGGAAGGCTAAGGGGGACACAAGGATCTCCCTAGGAAGGGAAAATAGAATAGATTTTTTGGGTGGACAGGGGCTTAGCAGGGTTGGGAACAGAAAGGATTATTGTTGGGGGAAGGGAGCAAGAAAATACTGAGAGGAATGACTGGAATTAGAGGGCATGTTGGGGGCCGGGTAGAAATGTAGTACAGTGGAAACTCCAAGGAATCTATGAGGGTGACCCTAGGAAAGACTCCTAGTATGGGGGACACAGAGCCTGAACCACCCATCTTCTGTAACCAGGAAAGGCCTCAAGTAGAGGGATTGGGAGACCAATCCAGTCACAAACTTCAACCTGCAGTCTGTCCTGCCTACAGAGTGTTCTGGGACCAGAGCCTAGCAGAATCCTCATCAAAGAGATCAGAGAGACTTCATCCAGAAACTGATGGGAGCAGTTGCAGAGTCCATAGTCAAACATTAGGTAGAGGTCCTGGAGTCCTGAGGAGGAGGGGGAGGAAGGCTCAGAGGAACCAGAGGGGTCAGGGACATCATGAGAACATGGCCCAGAGAATCAATTGACTGGGACTCACTGAGATCAGGGAGCCCAGAGGGGTCTGATTTAGGCCCTCTGCATATATGTTATGGCTGAATAGCTTGGTGTTTTTGTGGGATTCCTAACAGTGGGAGTGGGGGGTGTCTGACTCTTTTGCCTCCTTGTGGGACCCTTTTCCTCCTATTGGGTCATCTCGTCCATCCTTGATGTGATGGTATGTGCCTGTCTTACTGTGCCTTGTTATGTCCTGTTTGGTTTATGTCCCTGGGAGGCCTTCTCTGTTCAGAGGGGAGATGGAATGGGGGTGGACCTGGGGGAAAGGGGAGGAGGAGAGACTGTGGGGAAGGAGAGGGAGAGGAAATTGCAATTGAAATATAATATATGAGAGAATAAAGGCTGAGTAAGCAAGCCATGATCAGAAAGCCAGTAAGCAGCACCCCTCCTTGGCCTCTGCATTAGCTCCTGCCTCCAGCTTCCTGTCCTTTTTGAGTTCCAGTCCTGACATCCTTCAAAGATGGACTACAATTCAGAAGTGTAAGTCAAATAAATCCTTTCCTCCCAACTTGTATTTTCACATTAGAGTTTCATCACAGCAATAGTAATCCACACTAAGATACATATATAGTCATTGATTTACATATTTCTAAGTACATTTAAATTTTCAAATTACTTTTAATTTACTTGTGTATGTACATGTATAGGTGGGTATGAAATGTTGCATGTGTGGAACTCAGAAGAATTTGTGGGAATTAGTCTCTCCTTCCACCATGTAAGTCCCTAATGATCCAACTCGGATTGTTAGGCTTGGCACAAAGTGTCTTACCGGCTAAGCCATCTTATTGGTACATTTCTCTTGTTTTGAATTTTTATTTCTATGTATCTTACAATCAGACTTAACTCAGTACAGTGTGTTGTCATAAAGCAAAGTAGTCTTTATAATTAACAAATGTTTAAAGAGTACACTCTAGGATCAGAGTCAATTATGGGACAGTTTATAACTTTCAGAAAAAGGTTTAGGTAACTCTCAAACCTCCAGAACAAATTTACTTTACAATCTTCAGGTGAAGGCTCAGGGACCCTAGGAGGATGGGATGAACCCAAGGAAAACAGCATTGTAAATTTGCTGTGATAACTCAACATGACTTCTTTGGTTGACCAGCCTTGGCAATACTTCTCTCAGACCATCCTCACATCGAGTTCTCATGAGAATTTCCCAGGAAATCTGGACTCTGGGTAAGCTGGAGCATATTAGCAGCTGATGGAGCCTTGGGGGATGTCCCTTTCTCCATTTTGAAATGACTCCCATGGTCCCCTTTAATAAGTACTTATCTGGTACATACTTAAACTTTTTTCCTGTTTTGGCCTGAGTGCCTCCATTCCACATATGGTCAGTCTCTTCATAGAAGAAAAAAATGTCAAGTTTTACATCATCTTTTCCCTGGAAGGATAGTTCCAAGCTGTCTTCTACCTATAAGGAAAATGAAAACCTTCATGGACAGAAACAACAGGAACATATTTTCATATTTTAAATAAAGAAAAATGTTTTATGTAGTAAGCCTGGATGCATGTTTTTAAACTTAAATTCCTGTGAAAGTAGGATACTAAACTAGCTTTTCTTAAATGCACATAAAATAATGTTTCTTCAGCTGATGACAATTCATGAGTAAATGCTTCATGGTAGTTAAAACTGTTACTCTGCAGGGAAAATTAAAGTACCGTATTCCAGATCCCCCTTCTAACTAAAGGAGGAAAGAAAGGGGAACTTATCCTAAACGTAAAGTTCACATGGTACTTGGTGCATGTGTCTTCAACAGTATCACATAATAATTTATGTGACCCTCCAGGGGATGAGTGCTCATGTATCCATCTGTATATTCCACTGTAAAGCACAGTGCCAGACACCAGCATTTAGCAAGTCTCTGCTGAATGACTAAACCTTCTGCTTTGGCCTCAGAAAACATTATTATTATTATTATTATTTTAAATAAATTAGGATGATTACTTCTGATGAGGAGAAATAATTTTCCAGGGATGAAAAAAAAATTTGACTTGCTTTTCAGGATACTACTTCCCTGAGAACAAAGTATTATCACAAAGGATCATGGGCTTTTGGAAGAGCAATCAAACCGTCCAGAGTTCATCTTGACCACAGTGCCCTTGCCCACATTAGCCTGTGAGGAAGTTATTCAACTTATCCCAGGAGAGCCAAACAAGAAACACAAGCATTTGTTAAACATGGCTCCATATCCCTTAGCAATCAATGGGATATTTGTGCTCATTTTTATGACATCTAATCCTAAGTGAGCATTAGATGACTCAGAAAAGAAAATATAACTTCAAAAAGAGCAGGGTGGGATTCTATCTTTATAGTAATTCTATACCATACTATGGCATAAGAGAATGGCAATACATTTACTTACAGGAGCCCAAGATTCTTCTTTCATCATTATTAATAAATATAAGGCCATATTTTTCTTTAAGTTTTTCTTTAAGTAGTACAGAAATGTTAAGGGATAATAGGTCAAACCTGGTAAGTGCTGGGTGATAAAATTATATTTGTCACATCTTTAATTATGAGTAAGTTAGTTAAGGTAAACTTTATAACTGAGACACATTATTTATGAAATTAAGTTAACTGTCACCAACCTTCCCAAACTTGTGTTTGAGTGGAAGTCCTGCATTTTGAAATGCCAAAATAATATCAGGTTTGTAATCTTGAATAAAAATTCCTAGGTCGACGTCTTTGCTATAAGGAATAATACTGCATTGTCGATACCATCCTAAAAGGTGGTGGGGGGGGGTAAAAAACATTTCAGATTATATTTGGAAAATGAGTTATTATCATGAACAAACTTTATAGTAATGGCTATCATTTCATAAGGTTAAGGTTAGGGTACTTTATCAAAGTTATTTTTTAAAAGTTAAACCCCAAACTAAACAATTTGGTTATAGTAGTTACCTAGACGAAATCAATCTCCCTCCTCCTTTCTCCTTCTTTTTCTTTCCCTTTCCCCTCCTCTTTTCCCCCTCCCCCCTTTCCCCTTGGTCTGAGTACTCAGCTCCCTCAAAAGCTTTAACTAAGTCAGCCATGGTGGTTGACACCTTTAGGCCAGCCTGTTCTGTTCTACATAGTGACTTTCAGAACAGCCAGGGATACACAGTGAGATCCTGTGTAAAAAACAAAAAAACAACAACAACAACAAATTTTTCAGGACACATAATAATTTTTGAATAGATCATTAGCTTTAATAATATGTTAATTGGGCCATCCACTTAAACAATTGCTGTTCAGAGTGTTTAATCATTAACATTTAATGATTGATACTGCTTTAAGATGTGCTAAGAATATTTAATTCAATTAATATGCTTTCCTGAGTCCATAATCTATAGCACTTAACAGCTCCCACAGCTCATAACTGATGGGCCACATAAAGATCTAGTTAAGGTGTGATACTCAGTTTACACCAACGCTATTTCTTCGTGTTTCCTGTGTAACTACATCTTGCTTAGGTGCCTCAGCAAGGCTTTAAGAAAGCTTACTCCCTATCATTACTAGTAACTCCCGAGTCTTCCCTGCCTGCTTCTCATCTTTCCATTTTAATGGATGTTTTTTAAAGGTTTACTTATTATATATAGTGTTGTGCCTGCATGTATGCCTACATGACAGAAGAGGGCACCAGATCTCATTACAGATGGTTGTGAGCCACCACATGGTTGCTGGGAATCGAACTCAAGATCTCTGGAGGAACAGCAGTGCTCTTAACCTTTGTGCCATCTCTCCAGCCCTCCAATAGCTTTTAAAGTATGTAAGTGTCTATAGTCATCCCAGTAGGCATTGCTATTACAAAATGTTATTTGGAATTTTAAAAGAATTCTACTAAACAATTATCAACTATTAAAAATACAAGAGTTTGCTGAATGTTACAGCACTCACCTCACCTCAACCCTCAGGAGGCTGAGATAGGCGGATCTCTGTAAGCTCAAGGCCAGCCTGGTCTACACATAGAGTTCTAGGCCAGGGCCACATAGTAAGACCCTACTTAAAACACAGAAAACAAAAACAAACAAATAAAAAAAAAACAAAAATGAACCAAAACCTAAAAATAAAAGGGCTCTTAAATAGCACTCAACATACAGTATCAAATATAATCCTCGTATTTTACCAATAAAATAAACCACAAGGGTAAAAACTGAAATCATAACAAATGACTAAGCATTTTTGGTTACTGACTATAAAAACATACATGCTTCTATAAAAAAAGCTTTAGCGAGCCAAGCATTGGTGGTGAACGCCTTTAATCTCAGCACTTGGGAGGCAGAGGCAGGTGGATTTCTGTGAGTTCGAGACCAGCCTGGTCTACAAGAGCTGGTTCCAGATCAGCCTCCAAAGCCAGAGAAACCCTGTCTCGGAAAACAAAAACAACAACAACAACAACAACAAAAGTTTTAGAGCAAATATGCATACATAAGAGAGTATCACATATTCTTTTATGCTTTTACTATTTTGTTGTTGAGACAGACTGGCTTTTAATTTGCTATGCCTTTATGGCCTTGAACTTCTGAGCCTCCTGCCTCTCCCTCCTGTGCTGGGTTAAAGATGTGTGCCTCATCCAGTCTAAGCATCTAAGCATGTCATCTTTCATATAGCCCAGCATATAGGACAGCCACCAATCCCAGGCTACACCTGTTGTGCCTGCATAATTATTTAAGGCACTTTCTTTCAGTTGCAAAGTCTCCCAAACTGGAAAATAAAATCTACTGTAATTTTTTAAAAGCTGAACTAACTAGAATTAACTTTTGTACAAATACACACACACACACACACACACACACACACACACACACACAGATACAACCATAATCAACTACAGAAATAACTGAAAAGGAACAGAAACAAACAAACAAACAAACAAACAAATTAAGGATCTACATAATTCTAAAGGCCAAGAAGCCGATATAATGAATGGTGTATCCAGAAACCTTTTTCAGATTCTAACAGCTGCTGCTTAAAACTACAAAAAATGTCTTTCCCCATCTCAGGTGAACAGTGATGCCTAACCAGTGATGCTCTCAATGACCTGGGAAAGTTATAGATGACCTTAAAGCATGCCTGTCAAGCTTCCTCTCACTAGAAATGTTTCCTGCAAAATTGTAGTTTAAAGCAATAGTAATTTGAGACAGAAATAGCAAAATGTTAATTTAAGGATGAACTGAAAACAAAACATACGAATCATAATCTACATGTCTGATATAAATCTTTACCCATTATTATAACTTTTAGTAAATACAAGTGGCTTTATGATTCTGTTTTGTAAGGCTGGAGAGATGGCTCAGAGGCTAAGAGCGCTGGCTGCTCTTCCAGAGGTCCTAGTTCAATTCCCAGTAGCCACATGGTGGCTCACAAGCATTTATAATGAGATCTGATGCCCTCTTCTGGCATGTAGGTATACATGACATGCAAATAGAGCACTCATATACATAAAATGCATGAATAAACAAATCTTTAAAAGATCCTATTTTATATTTCATCAATCACTTTTTTAAAGGAGTCAACATACCTTGCTTCATACATTAATGTTTATTCTACTAAATACTATATTTTTAATATATTACTGGTGCCTGATCACCGCAAACATTCAGCCCTAAATCCAAAAGGATGAGATAGAGATAAATGTAAAGCATTTTTACCTAGACAAGTTCCACTGCTCAGCCAGAAGGGCACTCCCAGTTCATTTAATGTTTTGGCTGCTAGCTGAAGTAATTCCTTTGCCCTCTTCCGAAAGGCCATAGCGTCCACACTATTATCGTCAAGGTACTGCTGCAAGTTTAATAAACAGTTACCTATTATAACAATCCCTAAACTGCTAGGTACATTTCTATGATATCTGAATTAAACTTGGAAACTAACATTATTTTTTTTCTATTGTACAAAATTCGAATTTAGGGGTCTTGGGTGGCTCAGTGGGGTCAAGTGTTTGTGATACGTCTTTTTTTCTTTCTTTCTTTTTTTTTTTTTTTTTGGTTTTTCGAGGCAGGGTTTTCCTGTGGCTTTGGAGGCTGTCCTGGAACTAGCTCTTGTAGACCAGACTGGTCTCGAACTCACAGAGATCCTCCTGCCTCTGCCTCCCGAGTGCTGGGATTAAAGGCGTGGGCCACCAATGCCTGGCTGGATTTGGATTCTCAACACTCAAATCAAAGCTGGGAGTATTGATGTGGGTCTGTGACCCCTGTGATGTTAGGGTGGGAGAGGTTAGAGACAAATAGATCCAGGAGCTCCTTGGCCAGCCAGTCTAGCGAATCCATCAGTTCCAGGTTAAGTGAGAACCCCCCTCAAAAAAAAAAAAAAAAAAAAAAAAAAAAAGAAAAGTGAAAAAGTGAAGCAGTTGTGGGCTGCTGCTAACTTGCCCAAGCTCTGGTGCATGGCCCCATACCCATGTGCATGTAGGAAGCACTAATTGGATTCTGTGGGTTATAACACATGAGAAGAATGAAAATGACAAGGGGGTATATTATTGAGCAGGTGTAGGGGACCTGAGAGTGGATATAATCAAGGTGTAATAGAGGAAGACAACCAGTCCCAACCTCTGGCCTCAGACACAAGTGCACAAATGTGCCCATATACCTATACATAGGCACACATGCATATACCCCACAAGCCCAGAAATCAAAGTTTACAGTTACTTCTTAGTCACACATTAAAGCAATTTAACTAGATTCTAGGAGAAGCCAGTTTAAGAGGAAGACATATAAACAACTGCGGTTCCTCAACGATGAGACTTCGACTGTTATCAGTTTCCTCTGTACATCATAATTTAGCAGGCTGGGCAGTTGGGAGGAAAAAAGCTAATTGCAGAGCTAGAAGCATTATTTAAACAAAACAGATTAAATGATGTTTCAGATGCACATTAAATGATGTTTCAGATGCAGTCATTTACTTGTCTTTAGAGGTTGGGTAATTAAGCAGAAATTTGAATTAGACCATCAGAGTTGGACTTCCTTTTGGAAGGGCAGATCATTTAACAAAAGTGTAAGCTCTATGAGGAGAGGATGTTTAGGGTATTGAATCAAATACCTCAGTGTCTAGAACAGTATCTCTCTACATTTGACAAATGAACAAGAGAATGCAAGAAACAAATTTCACTGTAGTTAATGCCCTCATTTATAACTCAAAGATAGTAACTATGCTTTATAGAACTACTTTACAGATCTGAATGAAAGCCCTTTTGTAAAGTATAAGTATTTGTATACTTTTCTGATTTACTACATTTTATTCTGTAACTGAAGAAAACAGCGTGAAGTCTTCAGTGGTATTTCACTGTGGTATTTCACAAAATATAAACTACTTGGCTTAGAAGACCAGGGACAGGTGTCTGGTTACTGAGCTGGCCTATCACTAACCTCTTTTTACATGTCCTGTTCCAGTAATAAAATGTAACTTCTCTAATATGCCACAATCTTTGTAGCCTATAATACCTTATATGCCACTTTCTTTTTCAGAATGCCCCTGACTAACAAAATCATGTTTCAGCTCCAGGCTCTGAGAAATACCCTGATTTCCCTAAAAAGACAGATGAATGTGTTTCTGTTCAACATTTGCTAACACAGAAAGCCAAGCAAAACAGTCAGCTCCTCCATGAGCTTACACAGACTTTTAAAATCTTTAATTCTTTTTGCACTATTTTATGTATATGGGTATTTTGCCTGTACACATGTCTATACGCTGTGTACATGCCTGGTGGCAGGAAGAAGAGGACATCAGAGCTCTTGGGAATAGAGTTATAGATGGTTGTGAACTGCCATGTAGGTGTGGGGAATCAAACCCAGGTCCTCTGGAGGAGCGGCCAGTGCTCTTACCACTGAGCAATCTCTCCAGCTCTCTTTCTAACTGGTTTATACTGTTGGTTTTGTTTCAGTTTTCCCAGTGAGGCTGTAAACATGTGAGAGCAGGTCCCGCATTTCTCCCTCACTAATCTACAGCTGTGGAGTGCCACCTGGTACATAGTGGGTAAGCAACAGATACTTGCTTGAGAGGCTAAATGAAAAAATGACTAGTTCTGACAGCATCCTAGAATATCATGTGATTTCTTTTACAATAAAGCAGAAGAGAATATAGTTCATTGAGACATGTCCCTGGGATTATAAGGAATAGCATCGCTATGTGGATCTTGAGGGAAGAGTGTCCTATGAAAGAAAGTCCCCTACAGGAACACTGTTACTATGGATTAAACAAACTATACAGGATACCCTGAAATAAAACATCCCTTTCCTCAGTCACCACTTCTTTTAGAACATACGAATTGAAGGAGAGGTACATATTCTTGTGCTTGTAAGAGAGAATGCCTAGAGCTAAACATTTAGAGACCTAGCTACCACATAGACTATGTGCTAAGCCAGTCATAACTGCCAATGTTAAAACACATCTTAAAGCTACAATTTTCCTCTCTGTTAAAGAACACTTGCCTTATGGGAAACCTTCCTTCAAGCTGTTGATCAGAGGAGTCCAAGAAGCTCCCAAAACAATGTAAGTTATCATCCTTGGCTGTGTTCTAAAAAATGAAGGTAAGACCTTATTGCTGAAGACACTACACACTTCAGACACAGGGCTTGGAGGAATCAAGCTAGAAATGAACAATTGATCATGGAGTGCCCATCTCTAGCTAATATATCTATATCACAATCTTCATAGCTAACACTCAGGATGTCCACTATGAGACAGTATCCTCTATAAATAACCGGGATGTGTACCTACAAATCTTAATAATATGCTCACCTAAACAATGACAGTACTAGATGACACTGCAATGTGGATGGGGGAATTCCAGGCCTCAACCTCTAGATGAAAAGCTACATGCAATTTAATGGCTGCTAAGAGGGACAATCTATTTTCTCCAGTAATGTGTCCCCTGATAAGTTATCCAATAGTCTTTAGTCAGATCTTACAACTTAATTGGGCTGCAAATAATGATTTAATTCATAGATTTCAAGAAACAGATTTAGAAATAAATATATACAGACATATGCATAATGTCCCTGTTAAGTGAGAGGGTCTGTGCACAGCAATGGGCATGTTACCTGCTGTCAGATCTTGGCTTCTACAAGGGCCCATTACTTAGAGTAATGGTTGAACCCAGGGCTGGGACAGGAAAATCACAAGAGGAACTTAGAATATCTATGTTTTGTTAAAAAATGAAGAAAGATGGAGATGTGACAGAAGACACAGGAGCTGTGGTGAAGAGTCTTCTACCAGCCAAAATACGCAACAATCTGAAGATTAAAATAAATGATGAAAGTAAGGGTCTATAACTCATTAAAACAGGAAACCATGAGTTTCTTATTTAAATCATAACTGTGATGAGAGATGTTAATATTTAAATAGCTGCAAAGTAACTTGCAAATGAATACTTCTAATTACAAAGGGAAAAAATGCAAAGTCACAGAAGCATTGAAGACTTGCATTGAGTGAATGACATGAACATCTACAGTGCTCTGTAGCCCTTGAACTCAAACCCAACCACCAGAGGGAGGAGGGAGGCCATAGGAAGGGAATGAAACCTAGAAGTCACAGGAAATTCCCCAAGCTGCAAGAATCACAGGCTTCACCCCATGGTTATAAAGGTGTCAACAATTTCTAAGGTGATGAGACTCCCTGGAAGCTGTTTAGGAGATCTAGGGTATGCAGCTTTTCAAGTGTCACTTACACAAGGGTGAGCTTCTTGGTGATGCTTAAAATTGGTGTTGCTATATGCCTTAGCAGGCCTTGAACTTTTGGCAATCCTCTTGCCCTGGCCTCCCAAATGTGGAAATTACAGGCGTGTGCTACCACAGAATTAGATTGAAATTAAAAGCAATGTATGTTAATTCTTGATTTTTGTATTCAGATATAGAGAATATTCTAGTTTTTAGAAAATGCTAAGTTATTGGAAGCTTTAGGACACTGGTTTATAGCTCACTCTCAAATGAGCCAGAAAAAAAAAAAACCCAAAATGTGTTATTTGTATTGTACTTGCAGCTGCTATGTTAAGTCTGATACTGCTTTTAAAAATCACTACTAAATGGCCGCATGTTGGTGGTGCACACCTTTAATCCCAGCACTTGGGAGGCAGAGGCCAGATTGGTCTACAGAGCTAGTTCCAGGACAGGCTCCAAAGCAATACAGAGAAACCCTGTCTCAGGAAAAAAAATCACTACTAAAATAAACTAGAAAGCTAGGGGACTACTTTACAAGGTTTGTTTTGTTTTTGTTTTTTGTTTTAATTGGATTAATTCATCACTATAACCATACTGTGCATTTCATTTCATTTAAGACTGTTTGGCGCCATCAAGTGTTCAAATGGGTGTAAGTTAATTTTAATTTACCCTCCTGGTATTTTACTCATCATGATCCTAACATAACAAAGAAACAAGTAATAGGATAAAGATAAAAAACATTACCAAGACTTTCAGTAAGTCCATATCAGTAACATCAACACAATGGCAAGAGGGAAACACAAATTAAGCATCACAAATGGCATGGCAGCAATTGACTACCGTGAATAAAATAAGGTGCCTGATACCAAGCTCACAGAATTTGGAGGTAAGAGACACAGAGCACTGTGGTAACTGCTATGGCCGAGGTGGGCAGTGCCCTTAGGGCAGGAAGCAACCAAACTCCATCACTTCTACTTCTTATTACTATGTGGTAGAGGCAAAGCTTCTCACCCACTCAGCTCGGTAGACTCAACAGCTCTACAATAATAAATTCAAAAAAGGGCCAGGAAGATCTAGAAGGACCACTTGGGCTGTCAAGGACTTGGGTATCAGCATACAGTATATGAGAAACCTTGTATTGAGTCTTGGATTCGGGGCCACAATAAAAAAGTTGACACTTAGTTTCTCATTTTATTTGTTCTAAATTGCTTTCTATTGCTGTGATAAACACTTTGATCAAACTGCAACTTGGGAGAGAAAAAGGTTTAATTCATTTTATAACTCCTAGTCACAATCCATCCCTGAGGGAAGTCAGCATAGGAATTCAAGGTGAGAACTGAAGCACAGACTTGTGTGGTGACAGAGTATGCCTTTAATCCTAGCACTCAGGAGGCAGAGGTAGGTGGATCGATGAGTTCAAGGCCAATCTGGTCTACACAGGACAGCCAGGGCTACACAAAGAAATCCTGTCTTGAAAAACAAAAACAAAAAACAAAACAAAGCAAAAAGACCACCACCAACAACAGAAAACTAAACCAAACCAACCAAACAAACAAACAAAAGAACTGAAGCAGAGACCTTGCAAGGATGCCACTTACTGGCTTGCTCAGCTCTAAGTCTTACACAACCCAGAATCATTTGCACAGGTGTGGCATTGTCCCCAGCGGGCTGGACCTGCCCACATCAATCATTAATGAAGAAAATGCCTCATAGACTTTCCTACAGACCAGTCTTTGGCCAGGAAACCCCAGAAAATATAAGGCAAGTAATTAGGAAACCAAATCTCCACCTTCAAAACTGTTTTCATTGTATCTCTGGTTTCATACAATTGTTACAGTTGGAAGTTTAGATTCATCAAAATCATTTGTGTATCACTATAATCAGAAGCCAAAAGGCTAGAAGAGCATAGGAAAAAAGCTGAAACTGAGCTGGCTTTGTATAGTACTTGTTTAACATTTTGCCAAATACACTTACACACTCATATTCAGTGCCAAATGTCTGTCAAAAAACCCCTACTTTCATTAAGTCTTTCTAAATGCCCATGGTGGACTCAGTGGCTATATTCTAAGTCAACTTGGACTTCTTAAAAAAAAAAAAAAAAAGCCCTTTTAAAATAAAGCTATGAGTTATCGTAACTGAGGGATGAAGCCAGTATTAATTCTATCAGGGTCTAATAAAACAAAGCAATAAATAAATATATGTCCATTCTCCATTTAGTCAAGAAAAAAGTGTGTGGGTTCGTGAAGCCCAGAGATGCTTTCTAATTGAGGTCCTCTGCCTTAGCTGGCTGGTGTGGGGTTATAGACTTGCCATAATAGCCAGCAGAATTTATGTTTTCCTAATTGAGAGAGGGTCTTGTTGGCCCAGGCTGCCTCTGAGCTCACTATGTAGTGGAATATCACCTTCAACCCTCTGCCTCTATCTTCCAAGTGCTGGGATTGCAGGCACCTGCAACCATGCCTGATCTATGGGGTGGTGGAAATCAAAGTGAAGCCCTGTGCATGTCTAAAGTGGATGGATCTCTGTGATGAAGGCCGGCACCCACAACATATGTCAGACAAGCACTCAACCAATTACGCTATATCACTAGCCCTTTAAGTTTTTAACTTTAAATAAAAAGAAAGGAAGTAGGGTGAAAAATGATCAACTTAACATAAGCCATCTTCATTTCCTCTTAAAAGCTAAATGAGGCATAATGTTCTCATTAATTTAATTTAGAGGTACATTATCTGGTTGTCTCTAACCTGAAGGAATGCCCGAGCTTCTTTATACCTGCACTCGATAAATCTGGAGTGTGGTACTTCTTCTAGAAAGTGTCCTGGGTCTTTTGGAATAAGCACATCTAGTCCATCAATAGTAACTTGCTGTAACTCTGGCCTGAAAATGAAAGTTAATATTTACTATCAAGATTTAATCCAGAACACAGGCAGCCTTTGAAAATAGTAAACATTAGCAAAGGAGCTAAACATCAAGTGAATTTTCTTCAAATACTTGAGGCATCGATCAGCAACTTCTATTAGGCCCTTGAAAATCTGATATCCAATAGAAACAGAGAGTTTTAGTTTTAAGTATTTTCACTAATGCAGCTAAATTTGGGGTTGAGGAGGGAATGGCACTATGGATTGAAACTAGGGCCTTCTGCATGCTACCACTGAGCTACACCCCATCCCTCTTTTTTTTTTTTTTTTTTTTTTTTTAAGGCAAGGCCTCCCTAAGTTGCTGAGTTGCTGAAGCTGGCATTTGCAAACCATGTGCTTTAGCCTCTCATATAGCTGGGATTACAGGTCTGTGCTGGGCCTGGCTCAGTGCATCTAAAATAGTTTTACAGATACTTTGGCATTTTAAGCATAAATGAAAGTTAGATGACATCTTTTTCAGTTATCAAGTTAGTTTTAGAGAAGTAAATAGTTCTTATACTTAAGAAATACTACTGAGTAAATTACAGTAACTTGGGAGCCTCACTGACTGGAACGATACCTGGAACCCACCTTCTATGAATATTCTTGAGAACTTTCTATTCCCCTATGTAAAACTATAAAATGTACAGATGACTTTATCTACTGGCACACCTTATACTTACAGCATATTTCTTAGTTGGCGATTTTGAACTTAACTAAATTGTTAATTAAACTTTGATATAAACTTTTAAAGCCTTAAAGAACTAATTGACTTCCTTTTTTTTTTCTTTAAAAAAAAAAGCACCTTTTAAGCACAAAATAAGAAAAAAGTGCATAAACGTGAATAGTGGCCAAGATTTCAACAAAAATAAAGTAAGCAACATTGACAACAGTTTCTTACAACCCATTAATCACTTTTGGTCATTTATATTCCTGACTTCCCCAGTTTTGAACACCTTTTCAGCTGTTTCTCAAATGTGTGAAATTAAACACTAATAAGAAAAAATAAACATGCCCTTACAGTCTAAAGTATGACAGTAAGCAGTGTTTCTCTGGTCTCACAAGGTTTCTGATATGAAAACTTTTATAATGATAAACTTTAAGGCAAAGGACAAGCATTCACTGCTATATTTACATCAAATTCCAGTATTTCAGATAGATTATTACATCATTATTAATGATTTCCTAGGACTCTGGGTTAGAAAGCTGACATTCATAGTCTGGGTTCACACACGTCTTCTCAAGGACCTGTTCCTTGTCAACAGTGTTTATTATTGTGATAATTAAGGACAGACTTCTACACAGAGTGTCATTTTTATTCCTATGATTTGTCTTAGTTTCCTGAGGCAGAGTTTCATGACTACAGCCAGGCTAGTCTGCAACTTGTTAGTTAGCTCAGCCTCACCTACAGCTTACAACTCTCCTGCTTCAGCTTCCTGAGTGCTAGGATTTACAGGTGTGAGTCACCACCTCAGGACAGAGGGAAAATAAAATCTCTCTCTCTCTCTCTCTCTCTCTCTCTCTCTCGTGTATGTAAGACATAAAGGCACAAAACAAAGAGCTACAAAGTATTTGTGTTTTCATCTTTATCACAGACACTGAATCTGGTCAGCTCCCTGGAACTCTCTGTGCTACCCACTCACTAACTCCCTCTCTACCTTTCCCCACCTAGGGGTACAGTATATCTTATTTGGGGGGTAACTTTTCCTTACTAGTTTTAGTACCTTTATTCTATTTTAACCATATCCACAAACACTGTATTTTATTATTACATTATTATTCCTTTTTGCCTTGTTTGAGACCCTCAGCATTGTAGGGCCCATCCATGCTGTTGCAGAACTGCAGCAGGTGTCCTGAGTTATAATGCTTCAATGTATGAGCACATATGTGTATATGTAAATATAAACACACAATACTATGGATTTATTAATGATTATTATCACAGACTTACCTGTCAAAAGCTCCAGGATAACGACCAAACTGTAACTTTCGAAAAGGAACAAACTTTCTGTCCATGTGTCCTTTGAGTCGTAGGTGACCATGCCAGAGGTAGTTACCGCTTCTCTCATGAAAGACCACCACGTGGACGGCATGAGTGGCCAGCTTACAGACATAGTGCAGAGGGATTTCAGTGCCAGAAAGTGAGTCTATTCCATCTAGTCGAGGATCTTTGCTTTCAATCTTTAAGCACTGAAATCCCATATTCTCAGCTATCGGAAACCAGCCATCCTGGCATGAGACAAAGATCAAGCCTGAATATTTAAAACCAAATACTAGTAACAAAACTAAAGCAATTGTTACACCATTAACTAAGCCACATTTTTGTCTTAATTTGCTTTTTGCCAGAACATTTAAAAAAATAAAAGTAGTAAACAGAAAGTGGTACTGAAAGAATAAAGTGGCAAAAAAGGGTATGGAGAATGGACAATATGTCTAAGGCCTCTGAAAATTAACACAAATTTCACCCATAGGCTAACAATGCTCATTTAGTGTCCTCTCATTAGTTTCCATGAGTTAGAGTAGGAACAGAAAAAGCAAACTTACAATTCTTATCTCCTAACACTTTAAAAATGCTATAATAAAACCCTCACCATAGTGCCAGCATCAGGAAACAGACTGCAACATACTGGAAGACAATGGACGTTTTCAAAATCATTAGAATTTGAGTCTCATTTATTAAGATTATCCTATATGTAGAATTTACATGATTAAATATTATTATGAGTATCTGCTGTCCCAATGGAGATGTCTACATTACACTCAAGCATCTATGGTTCAGGGAACATTGCAGAAGAGGGGTCAAAAGAGCCAGAATACCAGGAAGCCTGCTGGAAAAGTCTCTCCTTGAAATGGCTGATGCAATTGTTCCAATTAAAAAACATTTTTTTTTTTTTTAAAAGGAGTATCTGCTGGGCACAGTGGCCTATGCACTACAATCCTGGCAGAAAGACTGTAAATTTGAGGCCAGCCTCAGCTACAGTGAACTCTTGATTCTTAAAATCTCTTGTATTTCACTAGGAATTTATAATCTCCAAGGAACTTTAACTTATATTCTTACATTTGCATTTGGATATGATGCTCACTGTATAAAAGAAGTAGCAAAAATATTACAGGTAAGGATACATACTTAAACATGCTGAAAGTCAACCTTTGAAACATAGCTAATAATACACAAAGCCACCTAATGTGTTCAAAGTGCAAGCACACTGATGTCTCCTTTACTACCCACAGAAACTATGTGAGGCCAGCAAGGAAGGTATTACATATGTCTAACCTATAGTCACGGAACATAAAGCTTTAAGAAAGTGTGTCCCACTGGCCACAGAATTCAGAAACAAATATTGAGGCTCAAACCCAGACTGTGAGGCTTGGTGACAAGCAAGCTCACATGGTCCATCCGTAGTGGACCTTTTCCTTCTTCCATGGCCTCTGGTCATATTTATTAGTCTTGCCAACTGTGCATATTCCTTTCTTCTAAAGTAGCAAGAGCATTGTGCTCAAGAAACACTTTGGAAGTGTGAATGAATATTTCTTACCATAACAATAAATTGGTATTTAGAGGCTGAGGCCAGAATTGGTGTTGTGAGTGACCATCCTGAACCAAGCAACCACCATCTTGGGAAGTCCAGCTGTGCCCTCTTGCAAACAGTCACCCCAGTTGGGCTTGTTGACTGCTTACACCCCTCATGGAGGCATGAGGAGGGTCTCAAGATCCGCACCTTAGTATACAGCAGCTCCAACACTTACTATATGCAACTCTGCCTTAACTGCACCAGGTGACGCCTCCAGAGAGGCCAGGGAAAACTAGGAGGAGGCTTCATATATGTGACCAAGGGGAAGATCACTGTTAAGGAAAGGCTTTGCAGGTGAGGCCACTTATTTTAAAACCATAAAGCAAGATTGAAATATAAGTTCAAGGGGCTGGGGCTCAGTGCTTAAGAAATGTTAAGTCCAAGTTTGTGGACACATCTAAATACTTTATATGAGTAGCAAACTAATACTGTGTACATACAAAAAGAACAGTGCTATAGACAAAATCCTATGTTGAGGTGTACCTTATGCAACAGAGTGAAAATTAAGGACAAGACCCCTCCTAGCTTGCCTACATTAATGGAGATGCTGAACACTTATGGTGACCTCTCAAGGTCATGATTATAGTCAAGATAGTGATATAGGAACAACAATTTACTAGAAGCTTCTGAGAAAATTTTTCCTTCAAAAGATAGATGTCCCATTCCTTCCTCTTATTCTCCCACCATGAGGATGAACATGCCGTTCTTATAGCACTAAGAGAGCTATGCTGGGATGATGATGGAAATGGACCAAGAACTTCAGCACTGGTGTCAGTGGGAAGGCAAACTAACATCAATAGCCACCATTATTTCAACCTTACTGGAAAAGAATTAATGCCTTAGTTACTCTAGGCTTTGTATCCACTTATTTCTAGAAGAAAATATCCCCAATACAACTTCCACAAAGAACCTTGGATGCTGTGCATTTTAAATGGTGGAACCATCTCCATCATCAGGAGCACCTGACTCACCTCATTCTTCCACAGGTGATACTGCAGTGCAAATGCAGTGAAGTCTCTCGGAACACACAAAAATCGGCAGTCTGAAGCTGAGCCTTGAGAAGCATTTTTCACTTGTTCTAAATTTTTATTAATCAATTCCAGAATCCAGGGGTCAATAAGGAACACTGGCACATTTTGGCTGGATGTCAGCATAATAAATTTCTTAACTGCACGCTGTTTGAGAGGAAAAGAATCTCTTTGAAACCACTCAGCCAACAGAATTTTCTTCCCTAGTACTGGGGAACTGAATCCAAGATGTCACACATGCTAGGCAAGTGCTCTGCCACTGAGCTCTCTCTCCAGTCCCTTCTGTATTTTTTGTTTTGAGAGAGGATCTTATTAAGTCACCCAGGCTGGCCTTAGACTCATTTAGACTCACTCAGACAGGCCTGGACCTCGAGTTCCTCTTGTGTAAGATTCCCTAGTAGGTGTGATTTAAAGGCCTGGACCACTAGGCCTAGCTCATCACAACCCATTTCGTTAAATTTTTGTTCAATTAATTTTCTAAGAACTTACAGAGTGTCTACCCAATAGACACCATGCTGATCAGTGCACTAGGAATAAGCAAATGAGTAATACACAGGGTTCTGTCTTCAAGAAGTGCACAGTCTACTAAGGAAGACAAGTCACTATAGGTCAAGGTAAAATGTACTACAACAAAATGTAAACAACTTAGCGTAAAAGTAGGAAGCCAAAAATGGCTAGATATGGTGATGAATGCCTGTAACTTCAGCATTCCAGAGATTACCATAAAGTTTGACTCAAGTCAGGTTATGTATAGAAAGCTCCAGACCAACCAGTGATGCACCAGTAAGACCCTGTCTCAAAATAACAGCATAAACAAAAGAAAACCAAGAAGAAAAAAAAAAAATCAAAGAATACACAAGGACTATCTGCTCATTTCCCACAACACAGGCTATCATGTATCATGGCTGTAATTTCTTTTTTATTAGCAAACCAGCACTATCTTTTTAAAACTGTTGTTGGCACAGGGTCTCAAGTAGGCAGGCTGGCCTTGAACAGTGTAGCTGAAGATGACCTTGAGCTCCTGGTCCCCTGCTTCCTCCCATGTCTGGTTTACACAGTGCTGGAGATGGAACCCAGGGCCTCCTGCATGCTCGGTAAACACTACCAACTGAGCTACATCTCAGCTCTGCCCTCTCAGCATTGTTTTTCACTTTTAACTAGGTAGAAAAAAGGCAAGAAAATGTATTTTTAAAACATGGAGGTTCTGAAACTTTACAAAACAAAAAAATATAATGGATGGATATGTTACATTATCTGTTCCTCTCATCTAACAAAGGAAGCACTGAGATTTTTATTCCTGATTATTAATTTCCCTTTATATTTGTAGTTCAATTCTGGCTCATATTTGGGGACACATTATAGTTCAGTGGACAAGAATTCTAGAAATGGAAAGCTAAATTCTGGATTCAGTTGTTTACTAACCAACTAACCTGAATCTCCCTGACTAGCTAAACTGAGAGCAACATTCATATTGACATTTTAGGGCTCCCATAAGGATAAAATGAACTATTCCATGTAAAGCACTCAGCATAGAGTCTATTTATGTCCAAGGTTGTTATTGTCATTGCTATCATTCAGCAAGTAATTGAATATATCAATGAATGAACTAAAGATAACACAAACATTGTAATTGAGATATCTTGTCTATAGTACATACCCACTGTGTACTATCAAATCCAATTCGGTTTCCCTTGGATTTTGATGAACCAGTTCCATTCTGGAAGAGAGCAAAAGAATATTTTGGTAAATTCACAGCCCAGCACACAATATCTAAATGCTTATTTCATACTCTGAAGCAAAAAATCATATAATTTTATAATATAATAACCCAAGATATAAAACACTGACAGAATACAGTAAGTTACTGAAATTGTTCAATGGTATGGCCAGCATTTCTGAACCAATTAATGCCCATCAAATAGCATCTGTACCCATACTCCTATGTCTATCTGTCCCCCCCCCACCCTCCTTATTCCTCCCGCTCCATCCCTCTCTCTGTTCTGCCCTGGTCTCCCAAGTCCTGAGACTATAGCATGAACCAGCTGGCTCTCTGCTATCTCTGAAATTAGAGTTTGTCCATTTAACTCCGTATTCCTAACTTCATCTCCATATATCTCCATATACTGATGAGATGGACAGTGAACTTTAAAAAAACGTATAATAATGAGCCAATCTCAAGTGTCAGATTCTGTTGGATACTTTCAAATGAAAAGAAGGCACCCCCTCATAACAACACTGCAAAGTCTCTATTTCTAGTTGAGAGATGGTGTCAGGGTTACACCATCATTCAGGTCTCAAAAAAAGAAGAGAAAGAGAGAGAGAGAGAGAGAGACAGAGACAGAGACACATTGAGAGACAGAGAGAAGAAAAAAAGAAAAAGAGAGCCAGATGTCCCCAATACCTACACTTTTCATTATGTACACTATTACTTCAACTGTTACTTATAAGTTAATAGTACTTGTTAAATGTCCAGGTTCTGAGAATCAGAAGGAAGAAAGGATTATTATCAGTATTCATATGATAAGCCCCTAATAGTTTGAAACTAAATAGGAGAATGTTGGATGGCCTAGAGACAACAAGAATGTTTCAAGCTGAAAACAAGTTTGACAGCTTCTTATGCTGTCAATGCTTTTCTACCTATAAAGTCTAAAGAACTGAGGACGCTGATGGACAATTAGGAATGCCTTATCCTACCAACGCAATGTGTTCAACATTCCTAAAAAGAAGGATCGTCTTCTCATTAAACTGCACACTCAAGGACAAGTGCCAAGGTCAAGCTGTTTTCATGTTACTATGCCTGGCCTAGTGCTTGGTTAAATAAATGTAAGAATTTGTTAATTGGAGGTGAAAAGGGAGGAAGAGTAATTGAGGTAGAGTCAGACTCAGTCTCTCAAAAGATCTGTAACTTAGACAATAACAGTTTAATGTAGACATTAGAGAGAAACAACAACAAATAAAAACAGAGGTAACTTTGTAATCTTCAATCCTGAATGATGGAGATTGTAGACAGTAATTTGTTTTTCACTACAACCCTACATTAGGAGAGGAGGCTGAATTTTTAAGCTGCTGAATTGGCGGAGTTTGGAATAAATACATTTCTAGTGAGCTAGTAGATTATTTTATAGTAGCTTTATTGGAATTAAGATCATATATCATAAATTCTACTTTTCAAAGTGTACAGTTAATTTTACAGTTAATTGTATGTATGTTGGAACAGAGTCTAAAAATGGAGTCATGAGAGGAATTCTGAGTGCTTGTGAGAAAATTCTAAGAAGAGTCTTGTGACCTTAGTTTCTTCAAAACACAGAATTGTTCTTGGAATGTGTTTTCCTGCTCCTCCCAGGTGTAGCAGATAGGAGTGAGTTTACTTCAGCTTGTTATTCATGTCCCTCTATGGGAAAGCATGTTTTTGCCATGTATGGCTTGTCCTTGTAATTATACACTTTACTGAGGTACTTGTACAACTTATACACTCAGAGTATAAATTGTTTGATGCTCTGAATAAAGTTGGCTATTGAATGAGACTTTAGTCTGCCTCATTTTTAGGCTTTGATCTCCCAGGTTCCCACCTCCAATAGAGCAGTAAACATAGTTACAGTAGTGTTACTACTACCTCTACCTAGCAGTAACATTCCACCATGTCAAAATTATAGTCTCTTGCCTTCTTCCTCTGCCCCACCATTATGAGCAATGCTGTCACAGACACCATGTCTTGCAAGGCATGTCCTCCTACAAAGTCACAACTTACCTCTAGTTTACTTGCTTAGCCAAAAACATCCCAACCAAACCAAACCAAACAAAACCCACAAACAGTTCACATTCACATCTGGGCATGGTGGAACATACTTATAATCCCAGTATGTAGGAGGCTGAGGCCAGATCAGTAATGGGTTCTAGTCCAACCTAGACTACACAGCGAGACTCTTCATCAAAAACACAAAGCAAAACAAGCAAGAGGAATCTAACTCCTCACATGCAAGCACACAGCTAACAACGTTTGTTCACTGGTGTCACTGCTGGTTCTTGATGAATGTTGTGTAGGGCCTTCATTCTGCTGAGCAATGCTACATTTCATTCCCTTGTCCATTAATTCTCTCATTCTCTTAGGTGAATTTTTCTACTCTTTTCTCTGTTTAAAACATTCTCCGTATTCCATCTGTCAACATATGGCATTGCTTTCTCTTTTCTTTCTAAAAGGAATTAGAGAACTTTCAAGCGTTCCCAATACTTCTTCCTTTCACCTCCTCCTCCTCCTTTTTTTTTTTTTTTTGGTTTTTTGAGACAGGGTTTCCCTGTGGCTTTGGAGGCTGTCCTGGAACTAGCTCTTGTAGACCAGGCTGGTCTCGAACTCACAGCCTGCCTCTGCCTCCCAATTGCTGGGATTAAAGGCGTGCACCACCACCGCCCGGCCTCCCCTTCCTTCTTTTTTGATGTTTTCAAGACAAGGTTTCTTGTGTACTCCTGGCTGTCCTGGAACTCAGAGATCAGCCTGCCTCTATCTCCTGAGTGCTGAGATTAAAGGTGTGTGCCACCACTGCCCAGCTTTTTACTAAAATTTACTAAAATGTTTATGTGTGTCTTGCCGATACATAAGTATCACATGTATGAAGTACTTACAGAGGCCAGAAGAGGACATTAAATTTCCTGGAACCGGAGTTACAAGAGATTGTGTGCTACCACAGACATGGATGCTGGGAGCCAAACCTGGGTCCTCTTGAAGAACAGCAAATGTTCTTAACTGTAATGTTAGGTCTCCAGCCCATAGCTTTCTTTGTCTTTTTGAATATGTATTTATGTACTTAATTTAGAGATGGCCCACACATGTTTCATGTGGTTCAAGGACAACTTATGGGAGAGTTTGTTCCTTCCTTCCACCATCGGTGTTCAGAGGATCAAACTCAGGAAAGTGCCTTTCTTTACCCAGGGAGTCATCTCCAAACCACAGTACTTCTTTACCTGCAGACTCATATATCCAGTTGTTTACTCTTCTTTACCTGCTTATCAAATAGGCACCTAAAAGTGGCATGTGAAAAAGCTTCTGTTCACCCTATTTCAGACTTGCTCTTTCCAATTTCCCTCATCTCAATAAACTGCAATTTCATACTTCTACTAAGTTGAAACACAAGTAACTTTTGACTTTCTTCTGTTTTTCATACCCGCATCTAACAATCAATAAATCTTTACAGCTATGCTTGCCATTTCTTACTCATTCCCTTGTCTAGGCCATTGCCACCTCCTATGTAAATTACCATAACCTTTTAGCAAATTTTTTTCAGCCTGTGCCATAATCTATTCTTAATAGAGCAGATGAACTAGTCACAATTATGCCATGTTAACAGCTCAAAACCTTCCTATGGTTTACAATCTTACCAATTAAGCCCAAAGTTCTTATAATGGTCTATGAGACTCTCAACAACACAGAGCTCTTTGGTCTTACCTACTCTTCTCTCATCTCTCTTTCCTCTACAGCCACATTAAGATCCAATTGTTCCAGAAGCTTTTCTACTTTAGGATTTTTGTACCATATTTCCTTTGGTTTCTATACAGGACTCTCCTCCTATGGACATCTACATAATTCATTCTGTTAGAATAAACTTTTCTTATTATAATGACCTCCTACATTCTTCATGTTCATCTGGAAAACTCCTACTCTTCCCTTAAGACCAACTTAAAATATTATGCTACCTCCATAAAATACCCAGTAATCCAGCCCCCCAAGTATATTATTCTTCATATTTTTCCTTGAGAACTTAGCGTGAAGAGTCAGACATAACAACACTGGCAGATCTAGTTTTATTAGGCTTAAAAATGACACAACTTTTATAGTCTCTTATAAGAAAAGGAATACAAAGGAACATGTAGTTTTTGTGACTATACCCATGGACCTATAAAGTAAAGGGTCGTAGAATTTAAATTTCATTATCTGAATAGTTGCTCTATCTATGGGAACAGCTACTGGTGCCCGGTGGCTACAACTGTAAATGAATAAGAATGCACCACTGCCAGCCAATGACCATACAAATAGAGAACCAAGAAAATAAATAACCTGACCTCTTTGTCTTCCTAGTCTCCAATCTCCAGCTGATGTTTCCCATTGGTTGAACCCAACTGGAAACCAAAAGACAAGGGAGCTCAGCTAATGCAGTCCACAGAGGCCAGCCTCCCAAGGCATAGAGTATAGTGAAGAGAGATCTGGAGAGGCAAACAGAGAATATCCTGCATACTATGCTATGGAGTTTTAAGTTTGATTCTATAGGTATGCTATGCAAATAATTTGATCAGATCTCTAATTTCAAAAAAAAATATGTGTACAGTAATAAGGATTACAGAGTCTAAACAGCAGAGGGCAGAAGAATTCATAAGTAGTATTCAGAATGGAATTGGAAGAAATGAATATTAAATTATTTATTTATCAATTTCCTTATATGTTTCTTAATCTTTAATTCCAAAGCTTCTCACATTGTGCATTTCTAGAAATGTAGGATTGAACATCATTTATCATTCTGTTTTATAGCCTATTACTATGGTTGGCATAAATAGTTTTCAGAAATACAAGTCAAGGGATTAAAAAAAGCCTAAAGACATTTCAAAATGTTTCCTATTGGATAGTTGTATGAAAACTTGAGGGCCATAAATAAGTGGACAGGCAGAACCAGATCCTAAAAGGGACTGGTAGAAAAATAATAGTGGCTACTGAACCCCACTGATTCAATTACAACAATCATTAAATAACAGGCATTCCAAAGATAGGATGCCAAGATTTAAAGAAAAATCTTATCATTTCTGATGCTAGTATTCAATAATCAAGTTGTTACAGGAACTCAAAATCCAGATTCTTAATTTGTATGACTATTTAAACATGCCAATAGAGTCAAATGGCTAATTCTTTGTTAAAAAAAAAAGTAAGGTCTTCAATATCAGATTTTTCTCCAATTGTTTATTAACCTGCACACCTAAAGCTGAGAGACGATAACTGTGGTGACTCCCCAACTATCTGAGTACTGTCCTCTTCTGCATCTCAGGGCTGGCTGTTTCTTACTCTCAAGTTCTCCTTGACCTGGACTCTTAAATGTTACAAGCCAGCAAGGGGAAGAAAGCTATGTGTATTAATAAGCCATCTGGTTTGAAAATCTATAGTCTACAGCCTGGGAATATAAGAAAGAATAAAAATAACATGCTTTACCTGTAATAAAAGAAATTCACATTTTTTTTCTGGACAACAACAACAAAAAAAAAAACGGAGATGTGGGAGAATAAAGGCGGTGATATTTATCAAAATTTGCCACATTATACCAGACTGTCAAAAATATACTTTCCCTCCAGGAATAACCTTATGTTTTCTTTCAGAGCAAAACAAAGCAAGCCAAATGTCAAAGACCAAGCGAAAATCTTTGCACAATTTTACTTTGCTGCTTATGTGCTACAAGTCTATGAGGTTAATTCCCATTCCTAATGATGTCACGTGAAGTTGTTCACTGTGAACAATTGCTGCCATTCTTCTTTCAAATCTCGGAAAACAAATTACTGAACACAATAGGAAGCTATCCCAGAATAACACCCTGTGAGCAGCCTTCTAGTTACTAAGAACAACCAATTGCTGAAGGCACAGGTGTGGCTTGTCTGACTAAAAAGCACAATAGAAGGCTCCTTCCAGTTACTGTTTTGTCTTTTACTTAGCCATCAGCCCCCATATTTTCAGTTGTCCTACAGCATTCTGAAAGCCATTTCATCTCATATCTGCCAATCTGAACATGTTCTGTTTAGATAGTCTTAGTTTTATATACAACCATTAGATTCTGACTATGTTGAGCATAGAACATATGAGCAAGAAACACTAGGTCAAGATCCCAGTTAACGCATTCATAAAACAGTGAGACCTAGGCTCACAAGGACTCTACAATAACTTACGTCAACTTTCTTTTTATTTACTTGTTTGTTTGTTTAGTAAGGGGCGGAAGAAGGTGTGTATGGCATAAGTGTGGAGGTTGGAGGACAACTTTCAGGATTCGGTTCTCTCCTTCAACCATGTGGGTTCCAGGAATTGAGCTCAAATTGTCCGGCTTGGTGGCAAGTGACCTTACCACTAAGCCATCTCACTTTATTTTTAAAATGGTAATGTAAACCTTCGGTAAGAAACACAGGCTACCAGAGCTCAAACACAAAGCTCAAAGAAGTGACACTCTGAAGGCCAGATGACTGAACTAAGACTTGAACTCAGAACCCATACTCAAGAATTACTACTACTGCTGGGTGGTGGTGGCGTATGCCTTGAATTCCAGCACTCAGGACGCAGAGGCAGGAGGATCTCTGAGCTCGAGACTAGCCTGGTCTACACGACAGCTAGGGTTACATAGAGAAACACCCATGAAAAAGAATAACTACTACTGCTACAACTATCAAGTTGAGATTAAGACCTTTGCCCTACTAATCTCAGTTTTCCTGCTACATACCTTGTGTCTTAACAAGTAATCAGTAAACACAAATTAGACAAGCACACCGAATTAAAACCACATTAACCTATTAGGTGTAATGAGAAGAAAATAATCCCTAGAGACAAGTCTTCTCCTTTTTGGTGTAAACTGTAAGCCAATTATGAATGGATCCCAACTTATGATGGGTAGACTTACAATGTTTTCAGCTTACAATGACGTGAAAGTATTATATACTGCATAGAGCTGATACATTAAGTTTTGAATTTTTATCTTTTCCTGAGCAAGTGACAGGCTATTCAATACTCATGGTGCTGTGGAGCTACCAGTCACATGATGAAGGTACTCATATTTCACCACATACTATGTTAAGCTATGGTGTTCAGTAGGTGAAACATATTACTTTTTTACTTACAATATTTTTGTCCTACAATAGTTTATCAGGGTGTAACCTTATAAATTGAAGAATATCTGTACTTGGAAATTAGAGTTCATAGAATGTTCACAAAGCTATCATTCTACTAGAGTTTGTATTTCTGGATATGAGGGGATCACACTGCAGTATCTGTTACCCCACTGATTGTCTGGGTTAATTTGCTGTCCAGGCAGGTGTCCCCTTCTTCCCTTTCTGCTTTTTCCCTCCTGAAGCTGAGCACTCAGGCAGTCAAAGAGGACAACCAACCCCCCAAAAGGAGGATTGCTCTTGGGTCAAGGGTACATGAGGAGCTGTGCTCCCTGATAGAACATCCAAACAAACTAAGTTTGCATTTCAAAAACCTGAACAACTATCCTAGATCTGAAAAGTCAAGTCTATCCCTCTATGAAATATAGTATAGTATATTTCCTTTCTTTAATTATATATAATTGCATCGATTTTATTTCTAGATCATAGAAAATATAGACTCATCTAATTAAGTGGCTAGGGCCAAAAGGACACCTATAGGAAAGCTCCAAAGCAGAAGTAGGCCTTCTTTACTCTGAGACAGCAAATAGTCCCTTTCCCTAGACAACAACAGACTTAGAGTAATCTCTGCTAAGATTCTGGAAAACTGTGTACTCATGACAACGTGGTGCCAAAGGCATTTACTACTGTGAGAAGCTACTGGACTCCAAACCACTTATCTCTACTTCTTCAGTCCTACAAACAGCAACAAAGGTTAGTTATACTACAATTCTTCTGGTATATTCTGAATCAAAATATACACTATAAAATGATTGTGATATGTTATGAAAATTACCTATCAGTGACTTCATGTAACTGATACTATTTTGTGGAATAATATAAATAATATTATTTATTTATATTATATAAAATAATAAATATGAATATATCAGAAAATTTGAATAGATTAAATGTATTGAAGTATTACTTTTGATTTAACTGTATAATTACAAAAACCATTTAATTCTAATTTTGAACTGCCTGCTACATCCTACAAAGATGAGAACCCCAGTGAGAAATGTTTCTGTAAAAGGTATACATTATTAATTGTATGTACTGCAATTTAAATGTTAAGAAAACACACAGCCATACAGAGAAACACCCATGAAATGATGTCTACTAAGAAAAAAAACACAATTACCTTTGCTGACAAATAGTACTTGTAGTAGTATAGCTGAAACAGCAGAAATGCAGAGCTTGTCAGTGTTAAAAGGGCCAAAAGCACGTTCTTATTGATTCTACTCATTGGTCTGTAGTGTTCTCTTGGATGTTTTTAACAGCAACCCAGTTGTTTTCATCTTCTTCTTAAGACCGGAAGATAATCGTTTACTGTGAACAAAGACATACCTTTGCAAAGAAAAAAAAAGGAAAGAAAGAAAATTAACTTTAATAATCATTGATAGCACACACACACACACACACACACACACAAAAGTTATTTAGCTAAGCATGGTAGTACATGGTTATAATAGTAGCATTTGGTATGCTGAGGCAGGGAGATAGCAAACACAAGGCCAGTCTGGGCTACAGAGTGATGTCTAGACCAGCTTGAGCTACATAGAAAGACCTTTCCTCAAATAAACACCAACAGCAAAACTGGAAAAGAAAAAGGATAAGAAAAAGCTATCTGCAGTTCTACAGGACACTTTGACCAAGAAGGGAGGCAATCAACAGACCTGGCCTGGGACCTTTGGATCTCAGAATGAATGACTGATAAATGCAAAAGTGATACTAATTCTGATCATACTTAGAACTACATCCACAGGAAGAAAATGAGAAAGTTTTTAGCTAAGGAGCATAGTATCTAGCTGTTTTGTTTTGTGTGCATGCACGTGTACATGCACACACACACACACACACACACACACACACACACACACACACACACACACACGAAATACAGGATGTTCATAAATGGCCTTGGTATTTGCAAGGGTAAAAATACCTTGGTAAACATTTTGGTTTTTCATCCTGGTATCACCTCTGATTATTTCTTTAGAGTAAGAAATTTAGTATGTATATACTTCCTACCTCCTCTCCAATACATGATTTTGGTTAAATAATTTTAAATGTACTCTAGTGTTTCGTTATTTCTTCAAGAATACTAACATCCCTTTTACTCAGTAATCTAAGTTTTCTGTCTTATGTCTTCTAGTTACAACTAGAAATTGGCAAACTATGCTACCTTCAGTCTTCTTTCCTTTTCCTATGTATTTCTATTTGGTTATTTTATTCTGTCCCATAACTATGTTATTTTACTCTTATTCACAGTGTTCCACAGTGATCTTATATACCCTCTGCCCATTCAGCTTCTTTGCAGCTTATAAAAAAGTACATAGAGGTACTGCTTACTAGTTTGCACTGCTTAACCAAATGTCAGTAGAGTTTGGCTGTGAGGTCATACCTCACTTTCCTCGGTAAATTACAGGATTTATATCATTGTCCTGTAATGCTAAATACTCTCTTGCTAACATTCAATTCCACAGCCCCCCTACAGGAATCTGGTCTGTTTCAACGGGATGCACAATGGAAGTACACATATTTCCCACTTGTTGACTTAGGCTATATGTTGATAGTGATTACTATATATTCATTTTCCTTTGGTCTTTGTTTGCTCTTTCAACTTGTAGAATAAAGATTTATTTGTAGAAAACTTTTTGAAGTCATTTAAGTACTTTCATTTCAACATTGGATTCTCTATTTCCAGAACTACAGGAAGTGTATCTCCTTTCACTCCTGTTTCCGTTTGCTCAACTTCCAAAGCCTGTCATCAAGCCACTTCGCTGAAGCTTCACTGTTGACTTTCCATTTCAACATGGCCATTGCTTCTCCTTATGTGTCTTCTGAGCTCTGCCACACTGCCCTCTTATAGTTGACTCCTAGCTCTTGAGCCAATGAACATTGCTTTTATTTTTTGCAGGGCTGATAACTGATCCCAACCAAGGCTTCTATCCAGGATTGGCAAGTAAATTATCAATGAGGTACAGCAAACACTGTCATTTTAAAGATTTTAAAAAAATGACTTTAATATAAGTAGATGTAGGGGTATGTTCACATGTGTGCAAGTAAAGGACAGAGGTGTCCGATCCCTCTGGAGCTGGAGTTACAGGTGGTTATTCTGAGTCACCTGACATAGGTACTAGGAAGCAAACTTGGGTCCCTGGGAAGGGCAGAATATGTCTTGACCACTGAGTCCCCCGCCTTTCATTTTAAAGTTGTAATTGTTTCATAAATTTTCCTCCTTAGGCCTGTACAATTTCATCATGGGTTGTCACTTGTTTTCTAGTTTTTTTTCTTCTTGTTGTCATATCATTCCCTTTTAATTACTTATGTTTGCATGGCCTGAACTCCCCAAGATCAGTTATTCATAGGAATACTGGGTTAGGAGGGGGCAGCATTATATTCTAGACTAGATGGAAGTTCTTTCTGACAGAACAGTTTATACATGTGTGTATGTGAACGCAATGGAGAATACATACTAGATGTTAGGAGAAGTTAAAACATTTCTCCTTCAAGATGTCAGAAACAGGTACCAAATGTCTCTGGCAATCCCTCTCTCGGTTTGCTGCTGTAAGGATAGTGCATTTGTGTAGACCTTATTTGCTTTTCTTCTTGCTAGTTCACACTGCCAAACAACCATGGATGCTCTCACACCTTCCTGATCTACAGTAAACAGAAGAGCCATGTCTCTGTCCTGTCAGTTCTAAGATCTCTATTTTCCTTACATGTGCCAACCACTGTTCAAATATTTCAGTTTGGGGTTACAATAGTATTTGTCTCTATTGGGGGAAGCTGTATTAACACCCGTCTCCTACTTTCCATACTGTTTCAGAGTAATTTCAGTCAGAATAGAGCACAAATATTTTTACTCTGCCATTTTAAAGTTCTAAGTTTTGGTGTGGAGTTTCAAAAGAATCCAAATGAACACGCACTGTAAGTAGCCTTTGGGGGTGAGGGGAGGGAGAGGGAGAAGGGACTTGAAATAAGCTTGTTCCCTAACTAGAACTAATAAAAAAAAAAATAAAAAAAAAAAAAAGAGCAACTACTCAAGAGAAGCACTGTAGGGATGAGAGTTACCTGCCCATCTGCAGATAATGTACCAAGGTAATAGGGATAAATCATGATTTTCTCTACTAAACTGTGAAAATTAGCAACATCCATCAGCACTGATGGTGGTCCTGTCTGCTGTCAGCTAAAACTTGTTATAATGGTTTCATTAGGGCAGGTCATAGATAACAAGGTTATTTCTCACTTTCCAGATTTAGCTATTCCTCATACACATATTAAATAGCACACCCGTGTAATGCACACTGCCTCCTGGTGAAATTTAAGCTTGCATTCAGAGTGTACCATTGTTAAGCCTGTCTACGCTCAGCTATTCTAAATTCCGAATTAATATACTTTTGCTTTTTTTGGATCTCTATTTTACAACTAATACAAAATTAATTCGTTAATAATATAGTAACCACTTAAACTAAGCAATGAGACAGTTTCAAAGAGAGGTATCTCAGGGCAATATCACAAGCCATGGCATCTTCAATGGCACAGGTCCTAAATCAAGATAATATTGGTGTCACAGTTCTTATTTGTGAGGTTTTAACCATCATTGTAAAAAGAGAAGGATAATGCACTTCTTACTTTATATGTATGTAAATGTGCAATGGAAAATATTATAGAGCTAATAAAATGAGCAAAGAAAAAAGCAAATATCTGCAGAAAAATAAAATGGAGACACTCACAGAAGAGGTTTAAGTAGTACAAGTACCCTGAAGTTCTAATGTAAATAAGAGGCTGGTTTAACTATGATATATTACAGAGTAAAATTATTCTTAAAAGACATGGAAACAGGATATAACTAGTACGTGAACTGAGATCTAGCAATGGAGAAGGACACGGCTAAGAGTTTCTGGACATCAGAGATATCAGTCCTCTTGTCTCTCACCCCGGGTCAGCTAGAGCCTAGACTCATCTTTAGGGAACAGTGCTAAAAGCCTTTATCATTTATTACAGAAGTAGCAATTAATATTCTAGGTATCAACCCCAGAATATTTATTATTATGAATTTGGCTGTATATAGAATATATACTGGGTGCTTTATATTCTCAAGTAGGCCCCACAGAAAGGAATTCCTTCTGACAAAGGCATCAGCAGTTAAGAGCTGCAGCTTCTAGATCTCACAATATATAGCCTTAGTTTTTCTCTTTGATATAGTGTAGAAAAGTCCCCTTTAATCAGTTAATAGCACGTTCCACAAGTCACCTCTTGCCTGAGACTTAAGTTTTGCAAGCCACATCCCTGGGGTGGAGAGGAAGAGGCACCTGCTCTTCTCAAGATTTTATCTGCTTTCCTGGCTCTTAGAGATATGCATGCCCTAATGTCAGAGAGTTGTTCAATGTGCCTTGGATATAAAAACTAGGAGCCTTGTTTTCAAGAGAATTTTTAGGAGGAACTTTTGGAGACATTTTAGAAGGAACCTTTAGAGAATTTTAAAAAAGAAACTTGTAGAGAACTTTAAGAGAATTCTTAGAAAGAACTCTAGGAGAATTTTAAAGGAGAACTTTTGAGAGAGAATGTTCGGAAAGAACATTTCTTGAAGAATAAAGAGCCGTGAGCAGAATTATTTGGGTATGAACTGATTTATTGGCCATCAGACTTTTTTACCCCAACCCGCCTGCTGTAAGCCTCCTGCCTGAACCCACGACAGAACAGAACGCACATTCTTTTAGCTTTCATTTCATCTTTTATTATCAATTTTACCACACATTACTACATGAGCAAGGTTGAAAAAAAGTGGTAAGAGCCAAACACACTTGTGATGTGTGCACACTTTGTATGCAAAGTAAAGTCAAGATTGTTTTCACATTCTTTCTGTAGCCAAGAGCATTCCATAGTTTGCAGTGTCACAGCTGACATTCAAATATGCTCCAAATAGGGCTGGGGAGATGGCTCAGCGGTTAAGAGTACTGGCTGTTCTTCCAGAGGACCCAGGTTCAATTCCCAGCACCCATATGACAGCTCTCAACTGTCTGTAACTCCAGTTCCAGGGAATCTGACACCCTCATACAGACATACATGCAGGCAAAAACACCAATGCATATGAGATAAAAATAATAAAATTAAAAAAAAATGTCCCAAACTGCAAAGCAAATAGGGAGTCAAACTACAGAGGAAAGAGAATAATGCAGTTTGGTAAATGTATGGTTAGGGACTTAGGTTGAGCAGAATGGGAAGCATAAAAAGAAAATGAAACCAAAGATGCACTCAGAAGTTAAAACAACAAAAACAAAACTGAAAAA